ACGATTACAGTTCAAACTGGCTCTGGTTGGCATCACCACTCGCCCCTCTGCCTGTGAGATCTGAATCCAGTCCCCATGCTTCCTTGGTCGTCACAGTCATTTCTGTAAAGTGAGCCAGAGTGCTTGACTCTCTCCCTCTCCTTGGCTTTTCCAACTCAAGCTTCCCTATTGTATCACTGCATTGAGCTATTTAGAAACTGATCTGATATTGGAACTATTAGTCTTAACCTACAGTGGGACATTATTCACGAGATTACAAGATTGTTCTTGTAACAACTCAGGGGGAATTATCTTGTTTCCTATACACTGCTGGAAATTAACTGCAACCTTCTTAAAAAGTCTCATTCTTTTGCTATCAGCATTTTTAATGTGTCTTCTGAGGCCATTATAAACACACTGCCTTTCAACACAATTCATCCCAAGTAATTCCCTCTGGGAAGAATGAAAGGAGCAGACAGAAGTGACAAGATTTTAGCTCTTCATTAGAAGCCGAAGCAACAGCACACACCTATTTCCAATAACTATTTGGAAACATTGTACCACATAACATTAACCGATTACATTCATTTAGATACACCAGAGAGAGGAGTTTTCAATTCCTGCAGATTTTAAGACTTTACTGATTACTAATGATGAAAAAGTGTTGACATTTAACTAGTCATCATGATACCATATGGAATCATGTTCAGATAATATTGCTAAACAAAATAACCTATGTGCCTAGTATTGATAAAATTTAACATTTTTTAATTTGGAAAAACTTACAGATTAAAAAAAAAATCCCCCTCTCCCTGCACAGAAAATGGTTTGATGTAGCATCCACTCTAAGCCCAACCCACAATGAACACATTTCAATATTGTCCTATTTGCCTCAGATTGTTGTTCCTTGGTTGTGCTTTACTGTCTTGAACATCAATTCCTGGATGGTCCTTCCAAATAGTAACTTCCCTATCACTTATTTTTTATTATTATTATTATTTTTTTTTTTGCGGTACGCGGGCCTCTCACTGCTGTGGCCTCTCCCGTTGCGGAGCACAGGCTCCGGATGCGCAGGCTCAGCGGCCATGGCTCACGGGCCCAGCCGCTCCGCGGCATGTGGGATCTTCCCGGACCGGGGCACGAACCCGTGTCCCCTGCATCGGCAGGCGGACACTCAACCACTGCGCCACCAGGGAAGCCCGCAGCAACTGCTTTTAATCTTCCTGGTTCCAGGTGAGTTGCCTCTCGGAAGAACATGCCAGCAATGCATGGCGTCACCAACAGCTGTCATCCGTGTAGGTCCTCGGAGCATCATCGTGCTCTGCGAAAACCTGAACGAGGGACGTGGCAGGGTGGCCGTGTCCAGTAGTATCACCTACTTCCTAAGATGTCTTTGGCTTTGCTGGATTCTTCACCATCTCTCCTTGCACCCTAAGTAGGCTCCTTTGGAAATAGCTGTGTCAGCTCAGCCCTCGCAGGTGCTCCGTGATATTTTGTGAGGTGAATGTGCAATGCTGGCTGCAGCTGTAGAAAATCTGGGGAACAACAATCACACCCCCGAAATCTTCAAGGGACAGTAACTGTGCTGCTAGCTCTTGAGATCGCCTTTCAGCTAGAAGGTCAAACTGTAACCACCACCACCAAGAATAAAATCAAATCAGCCAAAGCAGGCACAGGACAAAGCCCCGTAGATATTCTTCAGACACCTTCCAGGGTTCCAGAATGTTCTCCGTCAGCTCCCCACACCCCATACACAGCAGCTCGACAGGGAAATGCTCCTTTACTTCTAGTTCTCTTCAGCAGGTCCTGAATTTGAAACTGCTCTTCCTTCTAAGTTGGGTTCTTTCTTTCTTTCTTCATCCTGGTTTCCATTATACAGCAAGAAGTGACCTCCAAATGCGCTTACTGGTATGTCCCGTTCTGAGCGGTGATTAAGACACTGGGGTGGGGTGGGGAGTGGGAAAAACACAACTTTCTTTGGCACCTTCCCCGAAACGAACTTCCAAAGACCTCGTAAAAGATGGAGACAGTCGTGAACAAATGAAAACTGGCTAATTGTCCTGTGATGCAGGTGGAAAGTAACTCCAGGATGCATGGACAGAACACAACATAAACATGATCCTGAATGACTCAAAAATGTTTAATGATAAATATTCCTGTGTGCATCAGAAAATAATTATTCAGTCACACATGATACAGCAAGTAAAGCTGAAATAATTTAGGAAGAATTATAATAATCTCACTCATGAACTTTATGTAAGAACGTATTTTTTTTTGGCTGTGCTGTGCAGCATGCGGGATCTTAGCTCCGTGACCAGGGATTGAACCCGGGACCCCTGTAGTGGAAGCACAGAGTCTTAACCACTGAACCGCCAGGGAAGTCCCTGTAAGAATGCATTTTTACAACTATTATCCCATTTGACTCTTACTAAACTCTGTGAGGTAAGTAAGTATTCTCTTCATTTTATAGATAAAGGAGGGCTCGAACAGGGAAGGTAATTTTTCTAAATTATAAACATGTAGTGATAAAGCACAAATTATTGTACAGTTGTGATTTCCCTTAGTAAGGGGACTTAGGTGGGATAATTTCAAACATTACGCTCCTCTGTGCCACTGTAAGGAAAGCCCTCTGAACCTGCTGTTACACCTCACCTTTACCAACGTGGGAAGGATGCTGTGCTACCAACCTGAAGGACAGGCACCTCCTTGGCTCTCAGGACCAACGTGGAGTCAGTTTGGAGAGACCCTGAGACTTTCCTATGAAAATATGGAGAATCTCTCCTTTTATGATCTCTGGATTATTTGATCTAGATTTAAAACAAAACCTGCTATCTTTAAATAACTATGATCATAGTTACGATCATCCACCTTTAAAGGCACTTAAGTAGCTTGAAGTGCTGTGTTACATCGTCACTAAGCAGAAAAGAATGGGAGCACTTTTTTCTGCCCGAATTATTAGTTATGTGACTTTGTATTATTTTAATCAAACTCTGAGCTTCAGTTTCCTCATCTGTAAAACTGGGGGCAGGAGGAACCTTCCAAGAACAAGACTTATTTAGCACCGGCTACATTCCATGCACTACATATCGTGCTTCAGACGCACTGACTTACTGAGTCCTCCGCAACTCTTTGAGGTAAACACGATTAGTATCGCTGTTTTACAGATGAAAAAATTGGGTCACAGAAACTTTAACTTGCCCAAGGTCAGATATCAAGTGGTAAAACCAGGACCCCAAACCTGGCAGTCCGCCTACAGACTTGTTACTCTCAAAGGCCAACAGATCCCCACTGCACGGGATCTATTATGAGGATTGGAGGAGATCATGCCTGCGGGTAAGCACAGTGCCCAACGCATAGTAAGCACTCAACAAGTCTTGGCAAGTATAAAAGCAAAATGAGCTTTTAAAGCAATATACAGTATTCTATCGCTACAGTTGTCAATAAAACATACCTACGTATCACATATGTATGAAGTAACTGTAACCAAATAGACCCTTTACCATCCCATATGTCACCGAATAACTTTTGAGATTTATATTTTCCTTTTTGTTGAAATAAGGAAACACCAGTAAGCCCAAGAATATGTCAGAATTTATTCTGAACATACCGTAAGAAGACTGTTAGTAAATATTCTCTCCTGCTGGGCACACGGAGAACATCCATAGCAACTTCTTCCACTTTTTTTTCAGATGTAAAGATTCATATAACTAAAATTGTAGAACATGTCTTTCTTACATATTCACATATAAGATCATGAATTGTCACTAATTTGGATGAATGACTGACCTGTCTCGTCCCCATCAGTAAACATTTATTGAGAGTTTGCCGCCCACATCACATTTTCTCCCACACAGTAGAAGGTACTGAGCTTTCTATTTAGAGTGGCCTTCTGAAAAAGTTTTTTTTTTTTTTCCTTTCTGCTCAGGATAAAAACCAGGAATCTGTCTCTTTGACCTCAGGCATGAATGAGGTCAAAAATGACCCCCCAGTTGGTAGAAGTAATGGATTTACTTTATCATCCACAAATTGGAAAAGGTGTCAATGAAATCTTAGGGATAATGTCAAATCATAACTACTCTAAACTGACATAAATTAGTGACTGCAAACATGGCACTCCAAAACATCTGAATGAAAAGTTTTAGATTCCGTCAATGCAGATGTTACCTATAGAACATCAAATATCTGAATATTTCCAATGATCAGTTTGCCAAGTACCGATTTTCAGTCTAATGCTTAGGTGTTAGGATAAGTCAGTGTGTTTATAATGCCAGTTATACCAAATGGTAACATAATATTCCAAGTTAGCCAATCTTTAATCTAAAAATACGTGTAATTCATGATAAAAACACGTCCCTACCCAAAAAAGAAAACCTACTTATAAGCAGAGGTGACATCTGGAATAGGGGCCAAGGAAACCTCTTCCCCATCTGACACTTCAAGAACAAATATGATTAAGGTTACAGTTTAATTTTACTTGATGGGCAAATTTTTTACATTATTTCTTTGTTTTAATGGTCAATTTATTCAGATCATTTTATTGACATGGACCTATTCAGTGAACATTAAGTATAAACCACATAATATTACTAAGGAAACGATAAAGTTTACATAATCTGGCTATAAAGGAGAACTGTACCATTCTAAATGAAAAAAAAATCACACGGAAATGATACATATGAAAGAAATCACTGGTACGTGTGATGTAAGGATTAGTCAGATTCACACTTGACTCACCAACCTGGCTAATTTTAGGCATCTGACATGTTTCTGTGAGGTCCTAATTATTACAGAATTGTTAAGTAATTAATATTTGCCATACATCTTATAAAGTATATGGATGAGTTAACCAAATATACTGCTTCACAATTTTGAAGATTTTAATGTATTAAAAGAAAACTTGCCCAATACTTAAGAAAAATTACTATAGTTTTATATATTCAGAACACAAGGCCAGCCATGAAGCCTATTTTATGGAATAAGAGACTGCTGGTGAATTTTTGGGTCACAAAATAGCACAGACATTAGAGACAGTGAAAGATTTTATTTTTTCTTTTACTTTCATCCCAACACACCCTTCTGCGAAAAACATAAAAGCATGCACATTGATTGCATTCTTTTAGAGATAAACCAAGCACCAACTAAGCTGTAAATCAACAGTAGCACAAACAAAAGCTTAAATGATATTATGTGAAAAGATTTACAGGTATACAGGGCTCTTAATTTCATAAAATAATTCAAGTCATATCAATACATGTTAAAAAGAAGCTTCTAATTTTCCAAATATTTTGATACAAAAAAATTTTAAACAAATATTTTATAGACCTTTTGCGAGAATATAAGGATAGTTACAAGAAACATGCTGTTCAAGTGATCTTATGCAGGTCACCTGGCCTTCTTCAAATCAGTTATAATCAGCATGATTCCAATGGTATTGCTTCTTAAAATTTAAATTGAGAACATATCCATGACATTCAAAGTAAGTTACACAACTTACATTTATTGTGATCTAATTAGAAATAGTTTCTAAGTTTAGGACTGTTAAAAAGAGTATTTAATGAAGACATGGGATTGATCTAAATTGCACTTTACAGGGTAAGAGAAAATTGCAGTTTGGCATGAGAACAAGTTTTACCTGCACCCCCATTCATAATGAAGCCAACTGTGTCCTGTGGGAATGTGTGTATCAATACATACACACATACTAACATACACAAACCAATTCACACCACCCAACTCTTCAGAGGGGTTACTTGAAATGGTTTACTCTGGTTCTGGAAAATCAGACCAAATTTCCCTTAATTTGTGTTTCCATTTGTTTATCATGATTTAAATGGTGATAAAAATCCATTACTCGGAAGCAGAATTGGTATCTTAAATGACCAGCAGGCAATCAAGCTTGAATTGTAACATTAAAAATAGAGCAGATCACACTTTAAAAAAGGTCCTCTTCTAGGGGATTTATTGTTCCATGACTGAAAATTGTGTGATTTGGTTCCTGAAACAAAGCTCTTCTTTTCAGGTGATACAGATGAATTGTGTGGCCCCATTAATACCAATGGGAATGAAACAAATTCACTCCGTCCTGATGGATTAAGTCTGTACTTCACTGGCTTGAGGAAGGTGATTTCTTGACATAAGACGAACGCAAAATGCCTTTGCTGTGGATGGTGGGCTGCTCACGAGAGCTTACAAGGCTCAACTCCGCATCAGGACCAACGCTGGCTGGCGACACAGCGCTTTCCCGTGAGCCCCTGTGTCAGCCCCGAGCAGCACCCCTGCCGGTGATCCAAAGAAAAAGAACTCGAATACAGTGGAAACCGACCACGACGACATAAACAAAATGATTTGGGGATTAAATAGTTTGCTAAACCCAAGAGTAATAGGCAAAAGGCACATGCTAATAAACCTAGTCTGGTGTTTGAGAGCTCCCACCATCTCAAATATCTATGGACTCAGGTCCAACAAAGGTTCACACTGATTATTTCGATATAAAAAATAACAGGAAATCTTAAGGTTTTCAAGTACTTATGGCACAAATGTCATGAAGTGCTAGGAGCTTAGCTTAAATCTTCAAAAAGCTGAGCAATTTAAAGTTCTGCTACAATGAATCAGGATCACAATTTTAACTTAAACTTAATTCTTGTATTTTTATACATTATTCTTTTGTATAGAGTACAGGGTGTGCAAATGAAGCTGTTTCAGTAAATACCAGAGATGCTAATCACTTTGCCAACATAAAGTGAACTCAGCTAACAACACAATACAAGTCCTCGCTAACCAGAGCTCCCCTCACCAGCATTCCTCAGCCTCTCCTCGTGTCCTTCTCCATACTTAACTACAATTTCTTTCATCGACTTGGAGAAATTAAACACAAGGCAGAATATTACACAGCTGCAAGACACTAAATATTTCAGTGATAAGAGTTTGGACCAGTCAAGTTGTAAAAAACTGAAGAAAACAAATACAGTGAAATATACTGCCAATTGATGTTCAAGAATGCAGCTATCGGAATTACAAAACAGTAACAAAATATATAATCCTAACAGTCTTCTGGAGTTGACATTAGTTCATAGGAAATGCCAACTATAACATAAACTCTGTTTATCTTTTCCCTTTCCAGCAGCTTCTGGACTAAAGTTGTAAAACCATGTATGTTTGCCCAAGACCAACTGCATATCGGCTTTAGTCAGAAATTCTATTTCATCCAATGTTCAATCAACAAGGCTTTATTTACACTTCTTATTAAATTCAGGAACAATCGGATGTAATGTGCAGCCGCCAGTAATAAACAACGTAGCACATCCCACTGCCTGGAGACAGCTACGCGTTTACGCTTTAATACTAACCCACAAGCAGCCAATTAAGGTTCCATAAATCCACGTTTTTACATATAGTTTCCTTCCAGCCTCGGTCATAAGCATACCAGCAGTCAAACCACTTAAGATCAAGAATGATGGTAAGGTCTTCTTGAGACTTAGTTTAGAATTAACACTTTCTCCGGGAAATTTGTTTCTTCTTTCTGGATCCAGTGAATCATAGAATTCTATAAGCAATCTATGGCCAGAATGAAAAAAAAAAAGTGTTAACTTTCAGGTTTAGCCATTTCAATATTGTAATTCAACAAATATTTATTGGCTGCCTATTATATGCTGGAGAAGTTATAGGTCCTTATAGGAAACACCCAGAGAGTTGGTTTAATTGGAGTTTCTAGGCATTAAAAATATCTTTAATATGCTCTATGATTAATGTATAGGAATTATATGTAATATGTACAGACAGATGGTTTCAAGTAACTTTATGGGGATGTTTTTTAAACTTTAGATCTTTAAAACTTCACAGGGACCTGACACGCACGCGGGCTTTTTCTCTGCCTCCCCCCGTCTTTACCCCTCCAGACACTCCTCCGCGCAGCTCCTATTCTACCACAAGTCAGAGAAAAGACCAGCAGCTCTTATAGATGGAGAGTTACCCCCCAGCACCCCTATTCGCATGGAATTACAACAGCAGGTAAAAGAAGGAAAAGTAGCATAGCTAATGCAGTTTCCTTATTTTAAAAATGTAAAGTTATAATAGCAGAATACACTCAACATAAAAATCTGAAACACAAAGTACAAAAAGGGAAAGTCTTTCTGTTGCCTTTCAACTCACATTCCCTAGAGAAAATCACTGTTTTAAAACGTCCAGACTCATTCTAAATATACATATAAACACCTATAACACAAAATACATAGGATATTAATCATATTGTTCAGGGTTTTTTTTCTGATAACAGATTTTCATGTCAAAACACATAAATTGTACTTCTAAAATTTCTTCCATATCCAAAGTGGGTAGCGCTGATTAATTGGTTTAACACATTGTCATGCACAATTGAGAGTCAATGAAATACAGAAATTTGTTTATAAACTTCATATAGTTTCATTTTCAACACAGTACATTTTTAATAGCTTTCACTTGTTAAAGTTAATCTAGGAGGGTTAATTAGGAAATATTTTACTGCCATACAACAAGGAGAGGAGAAACAATGGCAGTTTCCTGAGAAGAAGCATTTTAGGAGACTAAAACACAGGTAAAATTTCTGAACATAAACAGAATTTTGGAAGTATTTTTTTCTTGCGGCTGCATTGGGTCTTTGTAGCTGCACGCGGGCTTTCTCTAGTTGCAGCGAGTGGGGGCTACTCTTCGTTGTGATGCATGGGCTTCTCATTGCGGTGGCTTCTCTTGGGGAGCATGGGCTCTAGGTGCGTGGGCTTCAGTAGCTGTGGCTCGTGGGCTCAGTAGTTGTGGCTTGCAGGATCTAGAGCGCAGGCTCAGTAGTTGTGGCGCACGGGCTTAGTTGCTCCGCGGCATGTGGGATCTTCTCAGAACAGGGCTCAAACCCGAGTCCCCTGCATTAGCAGGCGGATTCTTAACCACTGCGCCACCAGGGAAGCCCTGGAAGTATTTTCTAAAGCCTTTAAAAACCATTCTTTTCAATGTGGTCTTAATAAATTTAAATGGTGCATCCTATAACTCACAGATACATTTTTTTCAGAAAGAGGAAAAAAAGTATAGATGTTTAAAACACATCTTTCAAAAAACAAAAAGGATAAAATTTCCACTGAAAACAAAACGAATAGTAAATAAATAATATATGCTGAAGTTTTCATCCACGGAAATTCAATTTCTAAGTATTATATCTAAACCTAAGAACCCAGTTTTTATCTTCCTGAAAAGAGAAGAAAATTCTAAAATTTCTACCTTTAGAAATCTGTGTAAATCACAGGGAGACTAACAGGCTCACCCTCATCTGACCTCGAGCTCCGCCTTTGCCAGAGGCATCCAGAGGCCCCGCCTGGAACTTAACTCACAGCAACTCTCAGCCAGGGGCCAACACTGCACCAGCTCCCAAGTCATGTTACTGGTGGGAGAAACACAAGGCCAACCCCAGAAACGGTTTAGGCCCCAAAATACTAAAAGCAAAAGGACACTTTTTTCGTGACAATGTCAACTGCCCCTTCTTCTTCCAACAAATACACTGGAGTCAGTTCCACATACACGTGAGACACCATCCTCCACCCCACAGCCCGATTCTCTACACACCGCTGGCCTGCCGGCCTGCCCTCAGCACGCACACACTCCCCTGGACCCGGGAGGGCGGGCCTGGGGCATCTCAACAGTACAAAGCTTTCTGTGTGTCTCTCTCTTCTTTAAAAAATTTTATATCTTTATACACAAATTATCGAAATGCAATAAATAACAAAGGACAGCCCCCATAACAAGATCTTTCACAGTGACTTGTAACAGTCAAGTTTAAAACATGGACAGAGGAGGCATGGAATGAGATCTGACTTGAGTTCATAAAAGGCTTTCTTAAGATAATAAAACTGTTTACATTCGTCTCACGCTGTTTACTATAGTGACTGTGTTGAGCCACTGTTTCTGAAGGGCTAGAACTGTCGTTACTCACTTATCTTTTATTTCAAAACGTTCATGAAGCCATCTTTTCATGTATACTTGTTCTTCCGGGACATCTTTTTTGTCTATACGATCGATGTGAATATGAATTTTTGGACATTCTTTGCAGAGAAATTCTAACAAGAAACAAAAATATTTCATTTTTATTATTTTAGAATTCACAGTTACATAAAACGATAAAAATGAGCTTTAAAAAAGTTTAAAAACAATGAAGAACAGATTTTTTCTTTAGCCAAAAAAAAAAAAAGAAGAAGAAAACAAAGATCATAAACTGGTGGTTTTGGGTTTCAAGCTGAAGTAGTAATAACTTCCAAGTCTTCCACAGTTAACTAGGTCATGAGTTAAATCAACCAAATGTGACTTTCCATACAACAACCTTTAGTAGATTCGACAGGCAGCCCAGGGTCAGGAGGCTGGCCTCTACTAGAAGCACGGACCCACCCTCCGAAGGGATCCCCAGATGCCAACCACCATCAGACCCACCAATCCCCTTCACGGGGCCACCAGCCTCCGGTCCCAAGCCTAGGGCTTGTCGCGCGTCCCCGCTGCTCCCACTGGGCGGTGAGCCCCACAGGGCAGGGATGGGTGTCGCTGGCAGCACTGGGCACACAGGGGCACTTAACCCCTCGGTTCTAGTGCTGGGCCGGCCCGGGCCCTGCCTCCACAGCTCCACAGTCCTCCCCGCTCCTCTGTGACTTGCCAGTGGTTTCTACTCACTGGTACTCCTTGCTTTCCTGATCCTTGCTGTATTTTAACATATTCTACGTGGTTCGGGAACCAAATTTCTTTCTGTGGAATAGCTATGAGCCCTTCAATAATTACAGCTCCCAAAACATGCTAATCTGAAAAAAGCAGATGGTCCTTTTTGCAGCCCACATGGCACAAGGGATAAGGTCAGGATTTATTCCAAGATAAGACAGAACTTTGAGTCCGGAAATACCCTTTTCTGCAGGTGGCTTTCTGTGGAGACATGAGCATATTAACACACTTAAATTCCTGGAGTACAAGGAAATATTGCTACGAGATTTAAGAGAAGACTATGTTCCCTGGGTGGGTATGCAAGTAGGAGGCCGAGACCTTTTATCTCAAGCCGATATGTGTCCAAAGACGTGTTCTGAGAAGCGGTGACTAGTGTGCTGCAGAGTTTGCAGAAGACTTTAAGCTAACCCTTAAAGAAGGTTCCGCCTCTGGACCACACACACCTCTTTCTGCTAAGTGCTCGCTACAGCTGCTCTGAGTAACATGCTGCACTTAGGTCATCAAAAATTCGCTCATTTTTTCTACACTTTTAGGAGTGAATTGGCTTTGATGATAAATGTGCAAAAACACTGCCACAGGGAAGATTTTACTTTTTCAATATTTTTCTCTTAATTTTCCTCAAGTTCCATTTCCCTTTAAATCAAAGACTGGCTTAAGAAGTGCTTTCAGGAGCAGAACTGGGCATGGGCCAAGAGCACAGCCAGTGAGCCAGCGGCCTGGGTTCTGAGCCCTCACCAGCCCTGCGCATACCTGTCAGCCTCTCTGTGCCTGTTTCCACGTCCGTACGAGGGAGGTGACAGCAGCAGCCCCTGCCTGAGAGGTTGTCATGAGCTACGTTATTATGAAGGGAAACAAGACGTAGCCGACCACGGAAAGCCACCTCCTCTGATTCCTCTTTGCAACGTGAGGGTGTTGGGAGCACGTGGGACAGGACCCCACACACGTGTGCGCTGCAGGTGACTGACCAGAATCTGTTGGCCGCACGTGACTTCTCACCTCACCCTCCTATTTCTATTTCTGATACATAAAAACGCAGATGCCGACACCAACTTTCCTACCTTCACTTAATTACCTACGCCTGCCCCTCAACACTTCTGTTAATTAAGTGGTCATCCAACTGACACTGCGTTTATCCTTGATATTCCAAGTCCCATGCACAGACGTACAGAGTCCGCAAGGAAACGAAACCGACTGCACTTCCAGCGTCAGGAACGAATGCTTGTGAACTCAAGTGTTTGGGACGTGTCAGCAAGGCCTCTAGTAAGATGCTGGTGTGAGGAAAGGGCCCTGAAGTTCGCATGGGTGCTTTTAGGTTTTCCCACCTAAAATGTACACGGTACTGTGGTATTTACACCACGCTTTCGTGCACGTCACTTCACTGGACCTTCGTGCACCTCTCTAGGCAAGGACTGCTGTCTCCCCGTGGGGATGAACGAACCAAGGCCCAGTGTCGTCAGCAGTGGAGACAGCCTGGCCCAGGCCCTGTGGTCAGGCGTCCAGATACAGACCATACAAGCACCAGATCACCTCTCAGCGCACCCAGGAGGTTCTCCCACCAAAGATAAGAAATGAGTAGCGAATACTTTCCTCGATAGTCAATAAAGCTTTTGTGTCTATATTAGTAAAAACGCTTTTAGTTGGGGCACATTTCATAGGGCATGAGCAACAATTATCCATAATATTTAGGGAATGTAGGAAAGTACTCAAATTAAGGTGTAATTGTTTTCTAACTATAGCTTTTCCAGCAGGTCCCTAGAGTATATTGATACGCTAGGGCCAAACAGAAAGTCTTCCAAGTATCCACACACGTCACAAGGTCTAGTCTCTGCAGAGACCGAGTCCCAAGTGCTCTGTGCCTGGGGAGCCTAGCGAGAAAGGCAGAGCACAGACAGCGGGGCCCAGGATGTGTGCGGGCTGAGCTGTGCGCCTCTGCACGCCGGGCCCGTGGGTGGTGCCCATACTGCTTACCGTCCGCCTTACAACCTGCCCCCTTCCCTCTGAAAACAAAAACAAAAAACCAATATGACCTAAATCCAACAAAAACTGGATAGATACATTGTTGTATATTCACACCAATGAATAATACTACGTAGCCTTATACAAATATTACATAAGTGTATATACTGACATGTAAAGATGTGCATGACACACTATTAAGGGGAAAAAAAGCAGGATATGAAGATATATATACATAAATAAAATCTCATTTAAAAAAATACATAAAGGCACATCACGCCAACATACAGACATTACAGAAAAGAAGACTTTGAGGGAAACATCTGAACTGTTGTCTGGGGCTGCTTCTGGACAGGTGAGTTTGTAGAGTTTTTTCCCTTCTTTCCCTCTGAATATGTTTTCTTTTCGTATAAGAAAATATTAAGACAAAAAAGTTACCTAGAACCATATAAAACGCTTAAACAGAATATCAATTGTTGTCCTTTAGCTCACAATTTCTTCTGGTACACCACCCATTTTAAAAACAGGATTTACAAATCAATTACAATCAAACTGCCCTGTCTCACCTCTGCCCAATGGACGCTGTCCACGAAAGCGCTCAGACTTTGCTGAAAAGACCAGATGAACCACAAGAGGACGCCCAGATGGCTCTGAGCCATACCCACATTCTAATGAAACAGACCACGAAACGGGAAGGACACGGTTCACTACCTGCCGTCGCCCTCTCTGACACGAGGCCTCATGAGACCCACGCTACTAGACGCTGGCCACCGCAAGGACCCCTGCAGAGTCACCAGCACGCAGCTTCAGCCCCGCTGCAGCGAGCCCGTTAGCCGTCTGCAGTGCAGCTGAGGCCACCCAGGTAACTCTGATGGAACCTCGATCCTCCTACAGGGCTTTGAGAAACACCGGTCTACGGCATATCTATGAACAATCTAGCAACTTTATGGAAAAAAATTTTTAATTGGGCTATCAAATATGAATATTAAATAACAGCCCACTGTGTATGGAGATAACATTTAATACTTATTCAACTCAGCCACAAGGTACCTACAATACTCCAAGTTATGGAATTTTATACTTAACCCTACTTACATCTAAATTTAAAGTGAATCTTAATTTATACTAGACTAAGTAGAGCAGCATATCAATCAGTTTATGTAATAATGAGAGTTTTTCAAGCTACAGGTCTCAACTCACAATCAAAATCAACACACAACGGATGTCATCTCTTACGTGCACAGGTATATTTGTAGAAAAATGTCTCAGCAGTGGGAATGTAAATGCTTTTGTAACTTTGATAGACATTGTCTGGACAACTTCTACAGAGGCTGTACTGTATTGCACTCCTATCAGCAAAGTATGAAAGTCTCTGAGATACTTTAATCTCACCCACAGGGCCTGTTATCTAACCTGTTAATGGGGATTTTTGCCAGTCTGATAGTAAAAAAATGGTATCTCATTATACGTTTTAATTTGAATTTTTCTTATTGTGAATGAGGTTGAACAATTTTTTTCTGTGAACTGTCTGTTCTTGCCCTTTACCCATTTTTCTACTGAGTTACTACTGATCATATCAATTTATAGGAACACTTTGTACATTAAGGAAATCAGCCTTTTTCTCTGCAACCCTCCGCTTGCCTTTTGGTTTTACTCTGCTGTAGTCTTCCTTGCGGAAATATTTACTCTTAATTGACGAAATGACACATTTTGTTTTCCACATGGCTTCTGAGTGTGACAGCTAGGAAAGCCAGCCTTTTCAAAAACAGAGACCTCCGTCATGAATACACAAAGCCCCGTTGGCTACGGTGCAGAGCAAGTGGAGCAACGAGATGGGGCGCTGGGCCTGGAGCCCGGGAGACACAGCTGAAAATGGTTTGCCTCCAAAGGCACTTCTGATCTACCTGGGCGGGGGCACATTAGCCACGTGCCAAGTGCTAACCTTACGTGCACTTTGTGCCACGGGAGTGGAGAGCAAGAGGAAGCTTCGTGAGCTAGCAAGCAGAGGAGTGAGGGAAGCCTTCATGGGGACAAGGTTGCAGACTTGGATGAGAGCAACAGAGGGGAAGGTGGCCTGGCCTACACACGGCCCTCGGTCAGAGCCCGCGTAGAGGTGCAGGAGGGTTTCAGTGACAGCGAGGAAAGCGGTCCCACCCAGCGAGCAGCACAGAGTAGGAGGAAACGATGTGAAGGAGGGGCTTAGGGACCAGGATGCTGAGTCCCAGGACGCCAGCGCTGATCCCGTGGGCGCGGCCCAGCCCACGAGTTCCTAGGACTGGATGGTGACATGATAAAGCAGCATTTTTAAAAGGTTATTATGGGAATTAGATCTGGTTTTCATAAACAATAAAAATGTGTTTAATCTTACTTTTTGAACAACGTTTGATAAACGGATGGCAATACTGCTGAATAACTAAATGCACTGTCCTCAAATGCAGAACTGGGTGAATGACTCCTTCCATGGTTAAAAAAGAAAAAAAAGTATTATATGTTGCCTTTTCTGTAAGAGGGATGGACAGTAAATTTGTACACACGATACACAAGAAAGGAAGAAAAGTGGTTACCGCTGCGGAGGGGAAGGGGGAGACCAGGTGGATGGGGACAGGGTAGAAACAGGCCGTTTCACTGTACACTTTATATACTTTTGATTTTTAAACTGTATGATGTATAATATATGCCAAAGAATTACACTTAAAATAAAATTTAGAAAGCGTGAGCTTCCGGCTTTACTCGGAGTTGAAGGCGGTCGCGAGAGCGGTCGGTCGGTCTTGCTTTAGGTGCAGCTGCCCCAGGTCTGACCTCCTCCCGCCACCATCAAATTTGCCACCTTTTAGTCCCTTCCTGCCTCAGCCCTCTGTCCGCTCTCCCAACGTCTGGGAGCTACCCTCTGTGCCCCTGAACACGTTCTGAACAGCTGCCTTCAAGAGCTGCTATGGAGAGAAGCACCCTGACAAGCAAGCTAGTCCCACGGCCGGCAGCTGCCGAGGCGAAGCATGAGGCCCCCAGCAACTGACACCCTGAGGAGGGGACGGCAGCTCCACACGCTTCCTGTGCCCACCCCACGTTCAAACGTCGACAGCAATCACGAGTGTCTGTGGGTATGTCTAACTAAAACATTCTGCTTGCTTACAATTCTAGTTTTTTCTGGTTATTCTGACATAAACAGTAGCTCAAAGGTCCCTAATACCTAGCACATGGCTGAAAAAAAGAAAAAGTCACGGAACTGTCAGTGACACTAGATGTCACCAATGTTATATGAAAAACACATACAAAGATAGACACTGAGCATCAGTGCACACCTCAGCGCTGCTAGGTTGCACTCTCCTGCCTCGCTCCTTCCTTAGATTCACCTTGGCGCTGCTAGGTTGCACTCTCCTGCCTCACTCCTTCCTTAGATTTATGTAACTTTTCCATTTCTTGGTGTAAACCTTGGGAGGAAAGAGGCTGAGTTAATGATATTGGGCAAGTTCAAGGACTAACAGGACAGCCAAGAAGTACCAAACTTAGCAGGACTAATGAAATTTCAACTGTTACAGATTAATAAAAAATATGTGAGAAATACAAGTATATATACTTGGAAACCATATCAATGTAATGTAATAGAATACACCTACCTTTTTTAAAAAATAAACTTTACCTGGGTAAACATATATGACTCACTCAAAACCAACTTACCAGCCATGGACGGCGCTTCTTTCCGCTGCCCTTTATCATCCACAGTCCCCTCAAAAGCCACTGTAACATCATAAATTGCATCTAAGTAATTCTTCATAGAATCAAAAGCAACATGAGTTGCCTTTATTCTTGGTGTCAGCACATGTTTTAATACTGGAAGGCCTAGAAAAGAAGTATTCAGTGTGGCCATAAATTAGTTACAGAACACCTTGGAAATAGAACATAACATCTAAATTGTTTTTAAGTTTCCACTAATAGACCAGTATATACTTTCGGTTAAATCTCATACCTATAGGACGTTAAGAAAGTTTAGACAGCACTCTCACATGACTTTCTCAATTTAAATCAACATTCATTTAATACACATTTATTAAACATCTACATGTATAAGACCTGGTGGGAAGCTGTTGGAAAACCTGCCCTCAAGAAGCTTATGGCCTCTCAGAAACCCTTTGATTTGGAAAACTCTGACAAGAGTAAACATATGATCCTCATTTCTGGCAACAGAATAAAGGTGGTAGCACCTTGCCCATGGTCACTCAAGATTCAGGAACAATTCCCTAATTTCTGACTCCAAGTCCCTGATTCTTTCAGTTCTATTTCTACTCAAATAGAGATGCGGTGGGAACCTAAATGACCCCCACTGTGTACAATATTTGAACTAAGAGCTGATGTGGTCTATATAACAAGAAATACTGGCCTGACTTTTAGGGTAACCAAAGAATCTAATTCCTCGGTAAACTTTTTAAAAAATCTGAACTCTAATTCACATACCATAAAATTCACCATTGTAAAGTATACAATTCAATGGTTTTTAGTTTATTCAAAGAGCTATACAACCCTCACCACTAACAAATCCCAGACCATTTTCACCACTCCAAAGACACCTTTCAGCCACGGCAGACACTGCACACTATCCTCCCTGGCACACACCCACCCCACTACCACAAATCAACTTTCGGTCTCTATGGATTTCCCGATTATGAACATTTCACGTAAATGAAATCACAGCATGTGGACGTTTGTGTCCGGCACATACATCAGTACTTCATTACTTTTCTGGCTGAATAATGTTCCATTGTATGGATATGCCACATTTTGTAAATCCATTGACTAGCTGACAGACATGTGGGCTGTTTTCACCCTCTGGCTATTGTGAACAGTGCAGCTATGAACATTCATATAAACTGCATATGAATGCTGCACATGAACAAGTCTTGGTATGAACATACGATTTCAATTCTCTTGAGTATATTATTTATATATATACACACACATATACTTTTTTCTTTAAGCTTTTATTGGACTATAGTTGATTCACAATGTTGTGTTAGTTTCAGGGGTACCGCAAACTGAATCAGTTATATCCCACACCTATACTTTCAAAAGCTTCTTTAAGTGAGACAATATTGCAATTTATATAGGATAATTAATCACACATTCATTAGTGTGCCTGCTAATGCTAAGAATTTGTTCCTTTCCCCTTCCTATTTCCTACTGTCCCCCTTTTCCTGGATTAGAATATTTATTGACAATTTAACAGAAAAGTGTAGCTCTCTGAAGAAGTGACATGAAAATAGACTAGAAAAAACTTGATTTGGATTTTCTATGGCTTCTCTCCAGGGAAAATTAGCTGCATAAGAAAGAACAGCTATAGTATGTTGGGATCTTCCCGCAGAAGAATTTTTAAAATGCAGAGTGGTGTGGGAAAGACAAAGATTCCCACAACCACATGTCTGACTTGAGTCCCTAGGGCAGAAACAGTTTAATTTATTCACAAACTTATAACAAAAATCTGAATAGTATACCAGGCTGGGAAACATTGGTTTGTCAATTAAATTAGTTAATACTTCCTTCTTTGCTATTGGAACTCACCCAGTTTTATTACGTCCATAGTTCTACAGAATCACACTGTGGTATTCAGTAAGAACAATTATTAGAATCTAAGTTAAGTCAGTAAGAAGATAAGAAGACAGAAAAGTAATACTTCCCTAAAAATGAGTTATAGTGAAGGTTTGGAAAAATCAACTTTGTGACAGATGAATAAGAAATACCTATCACTAGTATGTAGACAAAGTGAAGGCAAAGTCTTCTCACTGAGGAATGTACTAGGGGCCGCTCCAAACCTTGGGTCATTATTATAAAACCAATTTCATAGGGACTTCCCTGGTGGCGCAGTGGTTAAGAATCAGCCTGCCAATGCAGGGGACACGGGTTCCAGCCCTGGTCCGGGAAGATCCCACATGCCAAGGAGCAACTAAGCCCGTGCGTCACAACTACTGAGCCTGCGCTCTAGAGCATGTGAGCCACAACTACTGAGCCCACATGCCACAACTACTGAAGCCCACGTGCCTAGAGCCCATGCTCCGCAGCAAGAGAAGCCACCGCAGTGAGAAGCCCGCGCACCGCAACGAAGGGTAGCCCCCGCTCGCCACAGCTAGAGAAAATCCGCGCATAGCAATGAAGACCCAACGCGACCAAAAATAAATAAATATAAAATAAAAAATAAAACCAATTTCATAATAACACTATAGAGACCAATTAGAGTTTCAGTACAGAGAGAGCCAGATAACAGGCATTTATAATTAACTGCTTGAGCTCGAGCTCACCATACTGAGGACTGCCTCTGCCTCTACGGAAGAGAAAACCTCTGAGCCCTAAATAGGAAAATGGTAGCTAATTAAATTGTTTCTGGTCAATATCTGGCCTGTTTTAGTATCTGCTGTGCCTTGTTTCCATCTCTAGATCTCCTGAACTTCTAGTTGGTACTAATGATACTCTACCTTACCTTTTGACCAAGCTTCTCCCCGAGGGCCATTATAGTGATGCTTGGTATAACTGAAATTGTGTTGTTAGTATTATATATTGGAAACATAAATGAATGATACTCATTGGACAGAAAATCTTTATTGATCCATGCAGGGGATTCTACATTTTATATATATCTATATATACATAATATATATATACCTGCACATACACATATGTATTATCATCTCACTTTACTCCCACAAATTAAGTAACCAAGGTTCAGAGGGATAAAATCATTTGCTCAAAGTCACACAGCTCACAAGACTTTATAATGTCTTGTTCAGTACTTTCTTATTCAGTAATTATTAACAAGATACTACTCTAAAACTATAAACATGTAGGTTAGAGGTTAATGAGACAATAAAATAAATAGCTATAGTACCTGGTAGAATGTCTTAAGAGATTAAAAATATCCTCAGAATATAAAAATATTACTCACACTTAAAGATACTGTCACTCACTCATAACTTACTGGTAAAGGCTTCAGGAAAAACAGCACGTTGGAGCGAGGCCAGGATGGAGGCTAGTAGGGTAGAAAGTGGGGGAAAGCCTAGCGGATGAATGAAGGAAGAGAGGCAGGATGTGGAAGGTCTGTGGAGCACATGTCCAGAGCCAGTAAGGAGTTAAGACTGCTAAGTGCACCGGGCGACACTGCTGAAGGCTTTAGAACGATGGGCGGATGTACTTATGTTGGTCTGTGGGACTCCATGGATTTTAGGCCAAAGGAGAAATAATATCTAGGTGCTAAGAAGAACGGTTTAGGTTTCAGAAATAGTTTAGGACATCAGGTCATAGGCAATGAGGTCCTGAATTAGGACTGAAGTAGTGCAACTGGAAAGAGAAAATGTAGTCAAGTGATGTTCAAAAAACCAAATATACATCGATTCAGCAAAAATTAAATGTGGCAGTTAAAAAAAAAAAACGGAGTAAAAAGTAACGAGGCTTCTGCCCTAGAAGACATGGACGAGGCTGTGTCCTCAATAGGAAGAGATGGGCATGAGGAAGCGCCGGGGGAGGGTGTGTGTGTGTCAGCGTGTGTGCGGATACCCATCGTGCAGAAAGAGCACAAGTGGCAGAGCAGGAGGCAGCTAACAAGGAAAAGGTGACTCAGGTTGGGGCGCTGAAGCTGAAGTTGGAGAGAACCCTCTACAAGTAGTTGAAAATATGGTCTTAAAATGGCAGAAGTAAACATCTGGGAATCATCTGACTAGACATGACAACTGAAGTAACGGCAGCGACTGAGAATACTAAAGGGAGAGAAGACAAGGCGAGCATAAGTAATGACTTTGTATATTATGTGCACATTAAAAAATACGACAAGTGACCAAAGTGACGTGACACTCCGTTGAGTCAGAGCTCACTGGGATTAGCTTCCGGAGGCTGGGTGGAGTAAATGTGAGCATGCATGGGGCCCACACTTCTCTAGCGCCAAAGAAAAGGACAGAGACAACAGCAAAGCCTTAGGTGGGGTATATGTGCACACTCTCACACACACACACACACGATCCATCCATGTGAGAAACAGGCTGTGCTTGTGAACCGGGGGAACAGTGTGGAGGTAATGCGAGCAAAAGACAACTGCTGAAGCAGCAACATTAAGATTTTGAAACAGAGATAAATATGATTGTATGATACGATCTTGTCAGAGAAACATAACTTCTTCAAGGCAGAGAAACCCTGAGATGTGAGGGGGAAAATCTGAAAAATAGAACAGATAGTCAAAAAGAGAAAAATAAAGAATCGCTAAACACAGCGTAATTGGCTCAGCTGAGATTTGATGGTGTGGATTGGCTGCAGACGGCAATCAGCATGGATTTTTATCACGTTCCCAGTTGCTGAGAAGGTAGAAAAAGCCGGGTTACTGACAGCTAAGGACTGTCAAAAGGCCAGGGGACGGGAAGTACAAGGTGAGGGGAGCAGAGCGCAGGGCCAGGAGACACAGGAGAGCTCCCGAAGGCCTTCAGAGTTACAGCAGGGCCAAGGAAAGACGGGTCAGAATTAAGCCAAAAAAGAAAAAGGTTCAGAGGAAGGAACAGCAAGGAGGAGGTAGAGGCAGAACCAGCTACATAATCTGCAGGACCCAGTGCAATTTCAAGACTATAAACGCAGAGCACTGAACCATCGCTGGATCCTGTGCAAGAAAACGGACTTTCACTGAGAGCCTACGAACAGAGCTACAGTTATGCCCACACTGATTTCAGCCCGTGAGACCCATTTCACACTCCCAGCTGCCGGCACTGTAAGAGGACACATCTGTGGCAATTTGTTACAGCACCGTGGGAAACAAGTATGTCGTCTTAGCGCCCAAGAGAGAGAAGTGTGTCTTTTCCACCAAACCTGGGCCAATACTG